GAGGAGGCGGAGGAGGAGGAGGAGGAGGAAACAGAAGAAGAGGAGGAGGAGAGAGGAGCGAGAAGCGAGGCGCGATGATAGAGAAGACAGGACAGGGGACAGGGGACAGAGGACAGAGGACAGAGGAAAGAGGGCAGAGGAGAGGAGAGGAGAGGAGAGGAGAGCAGAAAAGATGAGAGGAAAGAAAAGGAGGAGAAGCGAGGCGAGGCGAGGCGAGGCGAGGCGAGGCGAGGCGAGGCGAAGAGACGAGAGGAGAGGAGAGGACAGGCGACGAGAGGAGAGGAGAGGAGAGGAGACGGGACGAGAGGAGGGGAGAGGAGAGGAGAGAGGAGAGGAGAGGAGAGGAGAGGATAAGAGAGGAGAGGAGAGCAGGGAAGGAGGAGGAGGAGGAGGAGGAAGTGGGAGGAAGGGAAGGAGGAGAGGTCGGAAGGCGCGGAAGAAGAAGAAGGAGAGGGAAAGGAGGAAGGGAAGAGGCCGTTTTCAAATACATACGGATCCCCTCCGTTCGCTACCCCTCTCTTCGGCGGGGGGGCAGCCAAGGCGGGCCCCACTCCGCTGGCCACTCCGCTGGCCACGCTTCCGCCGCGAGGCGTCGTGCTAATATAAGCGGAACGGCAGATGAGCTGCGCCGCAAGGGGTTGTAGGACAAAGTCTACCTCGGTTCTGAAGGCCAATATCTCGGGCCTTGCCAAACACCGTTCCCACGTTGTCGCCACGAGCGCGTTATGGACACACTGCGTGGCGTTGCGTACAAAGACGCATTCGGGTTGGATACGTCCACACTGACAACGCGGCTGTTGCGTTCGACACCGCACAGAGCCAGAGAAAGAGCAAAGTCGAAATATAAAACAAGGGCGTGTCTCCCCACGATGTCAGCTCAGGATGAGATGCTGCCTCTTTCTCGAGCCCGCCCGAGCAATGCCCCAAGGCCACCAGCCGCTGCCAGCCAGGATATCGGAGGAAGGGTAGGATGGAATGGTAGGTGATTGGGATTGACAGAGAAGGGCTGTGAGGGACGTACGGCTTGAGCCAAGATGGGCACGGACATCGCACCCCTCTCTGTATGCTCAAGCACATAGGCAAACGTTGGAGGACAACAACTGCAAATCAATGAGCTGGAGGCGCTGATTCACACAGTCCCCCGAAAAATAATGGGTTTGAACAGAGGTGCAACATCCATGACACATCTGGCGTTCTTCAAACGATTAATGCTAGCAGTGCTGGCGCTGGTGGGCGTAAGAAAACGGCACTTTGGACACCGCCCTCGTGGCTGGGCGGAGCGGTCTGACTGAGCAAGAGTGTCACACTCCTGCGTCCGATCACACACTCTGGCCACCTGGTGTTCCCCGCAAAGAAAAAGGGGGGCAGTCACCGGCACAACGAGAACACTTGGACAGGAAGGCTGCGCTCCAAAACTATGCAAAAGGAAACTTTTGCCACACCAGTGCCTTGAAAAGGGAGAGGTGAAAGAGGCGGGACAGAGGGCAGAAATCACTGCAGCTGTCGCCTGGACTCGGCTCTGGATCGGTTCTTGACTCGGGGGTCGTCCTTACGATCTCTTAGGAAGTCATCTTCGGATTTGAGCCTAAGCATGCCCGACTTGAGCAGAGCAAGTTGGGCGGCGTTCGTCTTGGCCAGAGCGGCCTTGGTGAGGCAAACAACTGGCATATGGGGGTGTGGGGCCCATCTGATCGCGCTCCCTATCCGATCCGTGGTCTCTCTAACGACGGCTAGATCTATGGCGGCCCTTCTATCCGACTTGGTTCCCGACGTGAGTTTCGATAGAGTATCATAGATCCCCTTTGCGTCTACGACGCTGACGGTGCCGGCCACCGGCTCTCCAAGCACGGTGCAGTCCTCCTTGGGAAGACTTACGAACGGGCCGAGGTTCTCCCGCCACCGCTCGCGGACGACATTGCCGCGAGTGACGTCGAGCAGCAAAATCTGAAGCCACTCCGCCTCGCCTAAAGCACTCGAGAGAGACAACGTCTCCCCCGCCAGAGTGGACGCCACCTGCCTACGCAGTTTTCCCGATCGCCATGCGATCGGGGTCACCCGGGCCCGGGACCCGTGAGCTAAAGAATTATCGGCAATATAAATCTGCCAGGCCTCTTGAGGATGCTGGGGGCCCCCTTTCTTATCCTCGGCCCCTACGCCTCCGCAGTCGCCGGCCGTGGCCAGCACAAAACCGTCCGGCAGAAACCTCCAGACTACTATGGGAAGAGACGCGGTGGACCTTAAGTGGTCCACCATTTTGTTAGCATCCAGCAGATCCTTGACCGAAGGCCCGTTGACCTTTGCGGCGAGAATCGAGGCCGTGCCCGCGGCCTCGGCGCGGGTCTCCCTGCCCACCCACTGCAGCTTATACACGAGCGACCGGAAGGCGGCCACCTCGCCGCCGACAAGGGAGTCCTCGTGATTCCCCCTCCGACCTCGAGCTAGGGGAATCTTCTGAAGCTGTTCTAGAATGTATTTTTCCTGGTCCACCAGGACCCTGTCTCCGTCCAAACGCAGCCTTCTGCCTATGTACTCCACACCGGCGGCATCGAGCTTCTTCATTCTTCCAAACGTAAACCTCGCTTGGAACGGCTTCAGATAGTTATCTCCGCCCCCTTCTCTGAACGCGATGGCCCAATCGTCCACCTCAACGAGGACCTGGGCCTGGAGGGCCTGCTTGGCCCGTTCCACGAACCAGCACGGTTCAGGACGAGTCCGCTCAAAACCTCGAGACTTAAGAAAGTTCGCGGTGGTCTTGTGAAACTCGAGGGGGGCGTCGTCGAGACCGTAAACCGGGGCGACCAACTCAATGAGGGACCCCGAAGGAACAGGAACCCCCTCGCAGGGCTCGACAAAAACCCTTCCCCTGGCCCTCTTGAGTGGTTCTGACTGGCAAAACGCGTTCTTAATATCTCCTATGTAGATGCACATCTTGTACATGAGGGAAACTACACAGAACAGCATCAAAGCCTCCATGCACGGAGTGGGGGCATAAACCTGAAGTTCGCTCGTATCCTCGTCTTGGTGACCCCTCACGCACCACCTAGATTTAGCCTTGGGAGGGGCATGTGTCCCCTCCTGGGGACAATCCTAGTGGGAAAAAGACGTCTCAATTATTTGGCTTGCTCGGGGGGGTGAACGATCACGGCGCGAGTGCCCTCCGCGATGGCTTTCCATTCGCTGTCATCTGACTTATCGAACTGCTTCTTTTCTTCACCCTTCAGGTCTTTGTACCTGACCTCGGCCCCCCGGTTCACAAGCAAAGAAAGGTCACAGCTCCCCCTGGCCCCGAGATGATTTCAACGTCGGCGCTTCCGTTGGAGTAACTAAACCAGTTCCCGCTCCATCCCTCATTCCAGACCTCTTCGTCAAGCTGACCATGGAAAGTGTCCTGATCCACTTCCTCGTCGCAAAAAGAGGCCCAAAGTGTCTCCGCCCAGGATCCCGGCCTCTCTGGAAACCTGGAGCGGCGGTCCTCGGCGGGGCGTCTTTCCAGCTCTTGGACCTGCTGCTTGACTCTACCTGGGGTAGCACCGCCAAATCTTTCTCGAACAGCGCGGGGTTTCTGAATCCTAGAGCCAAGGTCCAACAGCTCTCGCCGAGCACTGTCTTGCATCAGGCGATTGAGCCGACCAGGGTCCATTGGCTCCGCGCTGCGACGTCGACTGGCCGCGTCAGAAACATCGAGCTTGGGAGCACTAACAGGTAGAGCAGAGGAAGAGGAGGGAGAGGCGGCAAAGGGAGGGCTGGCCGACGCTCCAGAGCTACCCCCGCCCCCCTGTCTCTTTTCTCCCCTTGGGGCAGTGGTTCCCTACGCCTACTGGTCTTGCCTGGACCGCCCCCCCTGTCAGTAACGCTTCTGGCGACGGGCAAAACAGACCGGCTCTCTGGCACACTGGAGCCCCTTGTAACGACAGTGGTGGATCCTCCTCCGCTGGACACCTGTCGGGACTGGCTGACGTTGGAGACTTCCGCCGCTTCCTCCCCAGGAGCTCTGGTGGCTTCTGAAGCCACATCGAGCCGGTCCCCCTCTGGGATCGGTCGAAGAGCGCTTCCGCCAGCTTCCGCGGCAGGGTGCCCCCCCATGCTTTCTCCCGGACCCCTAGACAGTCCTGGCGGAGGAGGTGGAGGCTCTCCAAGCGCTTCCTCGGGTCCAGCACCTGGGCCCTGCTCGACAGGTGGGGCTTCAACCGGCCCGTCTTCGGCGACCTGGGCATTGGGCCCCCAGACCTCTGGTGGAGGGGGGCCTTCTGCGGCGACGTTAGTCCCCGCCCGATGATTGCTCGTTTGAGCTTCCCTAAGCAGCATCTGAACTGAAACATCTGAAAGAACCCCGGCGCCCCGGGACTCCTCTGTCGTGGCGTGCCTAACATGTTCCGTGGAAGACTTCCACAATCTGGACCGCATCGCCACCCACGCGGAAGTGCCGCTGCGAAGAACGACCAGCCCAGGACCGACCCACCTATCTTTCTGCAGCGCGAAGGTTTTCTGGCCCCCCTGGGGGCCCTCCTCCAGACGTAAACCCACTGCCCGGGACTGAAATGCTTCTCTCGGTGCACCGAGGAGCGGACAGCGTCCGCGAGGCGCCGCCGACTGGAGCTCTCGAAGAACTCTCTCCTGGCCAGGCGGCGGATGGCGTCCCGACGGGCGTGCTCTGCCGCTGCCGTGTCGCTGTCCCAGGATGCTGGAGAGAGATGTTCGGTCCCCACGAGTTGGAGGGGATCGTCCCCAGTGAGGTCGTTCGGGATTCTGGGGATGATCCCCAAGACGAGCTGATATGGCGTGAACCCCCCTTATGAAGATACCGATTCTTGGCCGAGACGACTTCGTGAACGAGAGTTTCGAGCTCGGCCGGCGTGGCGACGAGAACCCCCTCGGAAGCCTTCACGAGAGTGTCTTTCACCCAGCCCCCATGTCTCTCGGCTCTACCGTTTTGCCACGGACTCTCGGAGTCCGTGACGCGTTGGAAAACTCCAAGGTGTTCTATTCCCCGCTCGAATTCCCCCTTGAACTCCAATCCCCCATCCGTGATAGCGAAGAGGGGAACCCCGAAGGGTCGAATCCAACACCTCATGAGAGCCCTCCAGGCCCCTAGCGCCGCGCCATCATACATCTCAACGGTCTGAAAGTTAGTGCCGTGACATATCACGTTGAGAAAGGCCAGCTGCTGGTCCTGCAAGGTGACAAAAAAGGTGTCCATAGCCACTATCTTACTGAACTCGAAAGTCCTGGGATCAGCAGCTGGTCGCGTGCTGTCGGGACAAGCGTGCGCGGCACAATCTCCGCACTGGTATTCATCGCGAACAAGCTGCAGGACCTCTGGCTTGGCTTGGGCAGCTCTCAGGAATTTCACGAAAATCTCCTTATGGGGGTGACCCAGATTGACGTGGACCTTGTGGATCATTCTTCGAACCTTTGGGGTAATCTCGAGCCTAGAGGGAACCTGATTGTCTTCCTCGGCTTCCTCGGGACCGGGCTCCTCCCCGTTTTGGCCTTCCTCAGCCTCCGCCGGAAAACTCACGGCCGCGTAGAGCTGTCTATATTCTGGCTGCCTAGCACGGGCGACCTGCTCTGGCATCGGGGGAGGGTAAGCCTCCTCGATGCTGGAGCGGATGGCCTCGGCCAGAGCCTTGCAGAATCTGGGAGGGTAAACTCGGGCCGCACTGGTCATGGCTCCTCCTATCAGCTGAGCGTGAGGATGATCGCCCCGGCATCGGGCATCCTCGAAGCGCCGGAGAAAAACCTCGCAATTTGACATCAGTCTAGTGGGTTTCTTCGAGAGCTCCCCCCCCCCTCGGCGATTGAAAGCCCGAGTCGACACATATCGATATCCGTGCTACGCACCTCTCCGGGAGCTCCGAGATGAACCGAACCACGTTCGTACACCAGGAGCTGGCCGTGACAGGATGCTCAAAAACGAACTTCCTATGGTTTTGATGCTGTTCCAGAGCCACTTCCATGGCGAAGCCGAGAAGGACCAGAGCTTCGGCGTGCTTTCGTCGCTGATGCTCTGAGACTTCTTACGGTCAAGGTCCGATATATAGCGTGTCTGTTGTTTCGGGCCTTGCGAAACCGAAGGCGTTTACACGCTAGGCAGCGCAGGGGCGCACACGCTAAGTAGGGTCGGGTGGAAGAGCCAAACGACATACACGCTAAGCGCTCCGAGACGCTAAGCGCTCCAAGACGCTAGGCGCTCATATACACGCTAAGCGCTCCAGCCCGAGGTGATCTACGTAGGGGGTTTTCTCTTCCAACCCTCTTCTTCCCTTTCGGTGAGGGGTTTACGCACGCACCCCTCCCCCTACGTACGCACCCCCATCCCCCTGGACCTGGACGGGGAGATTTGCGACCGATTGGAGATGGCCCAAAACGGCTCCAAGAGGGTCCTTGAGAGCCCTGGAGAGCCCAAGATGGCCTCCAAGACGACCCGAAGTTATTAATCCAAGATGGCTCAAGATGGCTTCCAAGATGCTCCAGACCGCTCCAAGACGATTCCAGGTGGGCTTGGGGCCTCCCTTGGACGCGCCCAAGACGCCCAAATCCCTCAAACACCTGGTAAGGTAAATCAATGATTCTACGTAGCCATTTCGACTTTTCGCGTCCGATGACCTTCCGAAGCCGCACGTGCTTAAGATGGCCCCAGGGGGCCCAAGAGAGCCCCAAGAGGGGTCCAAGATGGCCCCAAGATGGACCCGAGAGCGTCCAAGAGCGCCCCAAGAGCGCCCCAACAGGACCCCAAGAGGCGATTTTGAGAGCTCCAGAGGGGCGAGGGTACATGCGGACCCCCCCATTCTTTGATAGATATCCTCCAAGATGGTCCCAAGAGGGCCTCCAAGGCCCCCAAGAAAGCCCCAACAGGCGCCCAAGAAACCCCAAACGGCCTCCAAGAGACCCCCAAGAGGACCCCAAGCGGCCCCAAGAGACCCCCCGAGGCACCCAAGATGCCCCAAGAGCCCCCCGGGACCACCAAGAGACTCCCAACACGTCCCAAAAGGCCTCCAAGAAACGCCCAAGAGATACGTACGTATCCCAAGAGACTCCGAGACTCCGAGGAAGAGGAGGAGGGGGAGAGAGAAGTGTGAAAAACGGGGGAAGCGCTCCAGCCCGAGGTGATCTACGTAGGGGGCTTTCTCTTCCAACCCTCTTCTTCCCTTTCGGTGAGGGGTTTACGCACGCACCCCTCCCCCTACGTACGTACCCCCATCCTCCTTGGCCCTGGACGGGGAGATTTGCGACCGATTGGAGATGGCCCAAAACGGCTCCAAGAGGGTCCTGGAGAGCCCTGGAGAGCCCAAGATGGCCTCCAAGATGACCCGAAGTTATTAATCCAAGATGGCTCAAGATGGCTTCCAAGATGCCCCAGACCGCTCCAAGACGATTCCATGTGAGCTTGGGGCCTCCCTTGGACGCGCCCAAGACGCCCAAATCCCCTACGTAGCCCTTTTCGACTTTTCGCGTCAAGTATCAGTTCCAACTCCGTCAGACGGAGTTGGACAAGGGTCTCACGGAGTCCCTCCTGGACGCTTCTCTAGGGCCCTCAGAAAGCTCCAGCAGGGCCCCGAGAGGGCCCAGGAGGGCCCCAAGACGGCCCTAAGATGGCTCCAAGAGGGCCCCAAGATGGCTCCAAGATGGTCCTAGCAAGTATCAGTTCCAACTCCGTCAGACGGAGTTGG